AGTCAGAATCAACATCCAAGAGTCTACACCAAAGTTCTGCATCCCCAGTCCTAATTCCACTGAGTGCAGACACCAATTCCACCTATGCTCAGTCATACCTACCAGGTACCATGTTTATCATCCAACTATCATGAAGCTGATGTGACATGTTGAGTCACACCTTATAAGTCAACTACAGACTACTTCAGCATGCAGTAGCTGTGTAAGCAACTAAACTAACCACAACATGTCCACCATCTGCCAGAGTGCCTTACAGTAGAAAATATGTCTTTATTCATGCCTTGCCCATACAAGGAGTGCCAGTAAACGACAGTTTTGGAACATTAGTGGGCCTGAATTGCTCGACAGGAATCGACTCAGACTGACGAGAAGAAGGATCTGCCTTGCTTCACCACTTGGGATGAGTAACCGAGACCAAGACTTATAGCCAACCATTCAGACTTTGCCTGAGATTATGTCCTTGTTGCACATCTTCATCACGATATTGGAGTTAAGCCTGTAGTCTCTTCTGACTGATCTGTAATTGGCACTGATATATAAATATATTGTTCTGTCTTTTTCATCCATTCATTGATATCTTACTTTTGTTGCAATTCAATACACCATGCATTGTTATTCCGAATGCTACTTTGTTTGTGTAAGGTATTTCACAGTTTCCTTTAGTTAGGTTGGTGTAAGTGCTTGGTATATTTTCAGATTTCTGTTGCTACTGTGTTCTATTTGACTGGTCTGGGAGGTAACAAGTTGTGCTCATTAATATCTTGTTGTTCCGTGGAGTCTTTAATTTAAGCTGCCACATCCCTGAAATGATGTTGGATGGTCGTTGGAGCTGCGGAGTACCTCTAGACCAACACGAGCCGCCATCTCAACATTAAATCACCTTAGAGTGTCTTTATTGACTAGGGAACCCCTAATAACAGACACGTGACACGCCTGGTTGGTTATTCTCTGCACATGTTTTCACTGAATGTGACCAGTACAGCCACATCTCTGTTTGATAGCTCTCGACACCAGTAGTTTCCCAGGCATTTCTTCACCTTTCTTCAGTTCATCTTATTTTGTGATGGTCATTTTTCCCAGGCATTTCTTCACCTTTCTTCAGTTCATCTTATTTTGTGATGGTCATTTTTCCCAGGCATTTAACTTTCGTTTTTTGTATTGAGTGAATCTCCAACTCTGACTGGAATAATGCTACTATTGAGTGAATCTCCAACTCTGACTGGAGTAATGCTACCATTGAGTGAATCTCCAACTCTGACTGGAGTAATGCTACCATTGAGTGCTCCAACTCTGACTGGAATAATGCTACTATTGAGTGAATCTCCAACTCTGACTGGAATAATGCTACTATTGAAATAACATTAAAATTGAACATACGAAACTGGGTTTTTAATCAATCATATTGTTTGGGTTGGCTGCTATGGATCTCTAACATGCCCTGTCTCTGGTCCTTGTTGTACACTCTCTCAGACTGCTTCACGTCCATCTCTTGATATTGTCCTCCCACTTGTTTCGACGCTTTCCTATTGCTCTCTTGTGTCCAGCCTTTCCCTTTAATAGGGGTTTCAAAGGTTCATTATATCTTTTAATGTGGCCAAAGTATTTCAATTGTCTCTCTTCTTTTTTTTCAGTAATTTTTTTTTAATTTGTAGCCTTTCCAAAATCTCTGTATTGGACTGTTTTTTTTTTTTCCTTCCATGAAATATGACATATTCTTTTGTACACTCACATCTGCAGAACCTCATTTCGATGTTCTAGTTGCTCTCTCATTGTCCACGTTTCTGCACCATATAGCAGCACTAAGTATACATACAATTTGACGATTCTCGTGTTTTGTGTGTTGTTTATCTCTCTAGCTGTCAGTAACTTGCGCATCTTATTGAAAACAGTTTTAGCCATTCCTATTCTCTTTTCGATAGCTGATTCGCTTTTTCCATCATCTGTTACTGCCTAGATGGAAAGAAAACTTAGTTTTAAAACTTTACAATTTAGAGTTCCATATTTTGTTAAGGCTTTTTAAAGCTGCTGACACCTTGCCAATATTTAACGTAATTTCTTGCAATGTACTTTTTTTCCCCTTTATTAAAATTTCTACATCAATAAGAAAAGTGATCCACAACTTTAATATTTTTTTTTGGGTAATCAAGTGTCACATATGTTTGATCTATTATTGGTGTCTTCAATATATTTCTTTTCATAACGCATTTGTATACCATTCTTTGATACGCATGTCAATTTTGTTTTTACATTGCGGAACAAAACTGTCGGCAAAATCGAGAACTTCAATTCAATGCCTTTGTTTCCATTGCAACATTTCTTTCATCATCCAATCAATGATGATGGCAAATATTGACTGACTGATAGACACTTGTCTGCCTCCCAGTGTTATATTGCGCATGGAACCCATAGCAAGATTTGCCCACTAAACAAGAATCGTCTACAATTATGAGATTGGATTGGCTTTTTACCCCACTAGGACATCACACAAGCGATAAACACCCGATGACACAAAGTGCCACCATGCGGATGAGGATCACCGTGGAGAGGTCCCAGAAACCGCGTTCAGACATTTGGCCATATGTATGACCTGCCTATATTGCGGCCCCTGGCAAAAGCCAGAGTGGGGCTTCAAAAAACAAAAAATAACGTCCTAAGAAGGACGTAAGGAATATATATTATGAGATTAAACATCAGGACCACTAAGTAAAGCTGGGGTGACCATCCCTAACCGAGCGCGCCCACTGGTGGCGGATTGTAGAACGGTAAGTAAAGCTGGGGTGACCATCCCTAACCGAGCGCGCCCACTGGTGGCGGATTGTAGAACGGTAAGTAAAGCTGGGGTGACCATCCCTAACCGAGCGCGTCCACTGGTGGCGGATTGTAGAACGGCCTCCAGATATAGAGGTTAGCTGTGAATACACAATAAGCAGTCGCGGACTAATTGGCGGTGGGCACAGAGGGCGAGGCGGAATTTCAGGGTGGGATCTGAAATCTTTATAAAAAAATGCTCAGAGACGTGCTTTGGACTGCAGTCCATCTAGGAGACGGCCAACTCCAAAGATAAACCACCAAATTCAAGGTGGGCCAACGTGCTGAGGAACTGGATGGCCAGGGGTGAGCTCGTGGTGAACGTTGGACCTCTGGCGGGCGTGCGAGGCGGCACCAATTATATGGACTCCTGCGGGACATTTACTGCCTGTTCCCCAGCAGGCAGGCAATGCTAGAGTGACCGGTCATTTCCTGCCGTACTTTTTTTCGCAATTGGATTACACAAAAATATGCATAAGAATCGTCACCGGAGCTACGGAGCACGTGCTCTGTGCTTGACACATTTTTTAGCGGTTTGTGAAGAGAGAGTGAGGAGGAGACGACAAGAAAATAGGGAAAGAAGAAGGCATAGAAATAGGAAGGCAGGTTTCTAGGAGAAGAAGACGAAAAGCGGAGAGATTGAGCTTTAATCATGTAAGAGTAGGATACTGGAATTGTCGGAGTGCTAGGCAGAGAGGTCCTGTACTGGAGAGGTTGATTTTTGATTTTGATGTCATCATGCTCCAGGAGCTAAATACAGACATATATCATTTCTCGGGGTACGTCAGTTATATAAACCCTGTTGGACAAGAGAGACATGGACACGGTCTAGTGGTGAAGGAAGTTATTAAACCAGGCATCATTAGGAAACATAAATAGCTGTAAAACGAGACAAATGGACGCCGTAGAAGTCACAAAACTATAGTATTTAAAAATATTTAGGAAACATAAAGTTATCATACCACGCTTCTGTATAAAATATACAGAGTTAGGAATATAAAGATCTTTAGAACACTAAAAATGATCAGAACATAAATACTGAAGCCATTTAGGCAAATGTTCAAGTAGATAAGTGAAAAATTATTATACATAATCGTGAAAGCAGCAGCAACCGAGAACGGTATAGAGTCATCAAATCTGGCACCAAGAACACTCATCATCATCATCATCAGGTGCCTTGCCGACTGGCGTGGGCGATCATGCCTCTTCATAATCTGCGATCTCCTGCAGCATGTATCAGTTCGTGTTCCTGCCTACGATTGTCCAGGATTCACAGCCATGTGTTAAAACTGGATGTATGTAGCAAGCAAGAATTGTTTTTCTAACTCTCAATGACAAGGATATATTGCACAGGATGTTTTTCATTTTATAAAATGCAGTTTTTGCCTGTCCTATTCTATTTCTTATCTTAGTTATGCATCTTCCATCTGATGTTATCCATGTGCCCAGATACTTAAAATTCTGTACTTGTCCTAAAATAACACCATCAACTTTTATTAAACACTTAGGAATAATGCGTTTCTGTGATACCACCATTACTTCTGTCTTACCATTATTCAAACTGAGGCCCATTCTTCCACTTTCTAACACCACAATGTCTATCATTTCCTGTAGTTCTTTCTGACTTGTTGCTATCAAGACTGTGTCATCAGCATAACGTAAATTGTTTATACTGTGCCCACCAACCACAATTCCGGGCATACCAATTAAAGCTCTCATTATATATTCACTGTATATTGAAAACAAATCAGGTGACAGTACACATCCTTGTCGTACGCCTCTCTTTATGCTTTAAAATGTACCTAAACAGTTGTTAATTCTTATAGCTGCTGTTTGCTGCCAATATATATTCTTTATTATTCGTAGATCTTTCACATCAATGTTTGATTTTTCTAACAGTTTGATTAATTCTTCATGCTTTACACACTCAAATGCTTTTGTATAGTCTATGAAGCATATGTACAAATCAGTCTTTACTTCTATAGCTCTTTCTGACAATGTCCTTAGGATGTATAAGGCATTGTTTGTACCTTTTCCTTCTACAAATCCACATTGTTCATGGCTGATTTCTGGTTTAATTTTGTATCTTTTTCTTCTCATAATTATTCTCAGTAAAATCTTAGTCATGTGACTCATAAGACTTATTGTGCGATGGGCTTCACATTTTATAGTGCCTGGTTTCTTAGGCAGAGCTATGAATATGATTTTAAACGGTCATTTGGAATATACCCACTATTATAAATATCATTTAAAAGTTTAGTTATTATTTTAATTCCAAAATCTCCCAGTGCTTCGATTTCTTCCAGTGAGATGTTGTCTGGCCCGGGTGCTTTTCCTTTTTTCATATGAAGTATTGCATCCTCAACTTTTGCAGTCATTATTGGTGGACCATCATTGTTGGTCTGCAGTTCTACATCTGGTCTATTATCATCATACAATTCCTCTATATACTCTGTCCATCTGTTAATTATATTACTCTGTCCCATTAATAAATCACCATCTTTTGATTCCAAACATCCAGTGCTGTTACGTGTTATATTTCCTGTTAACATGTTTATCTTTTGGTACATGGAATGTGACTCTTTTCTGTTGTTTTCCCCAATCTCTGTACACATTTGATTCAGGATGGCTTCTTTAGCCACTTTGCATTGGTTCACTATTTCTTTTTGTATTCTAGAGTATTCGTCTTTATCATTCTTTTTCTTCCTTCTTTCATCCATCAACTGCAGAATTTCGGTTGAAATCCATTTCTTTTTTGCAACTGTATGGGTTGGTGGGATTGTTTCTTTAGATGTCTGCTGAATTGACTCACGCAACATATCCCACTGTTCATCAATAGTCTGTATCATTTCCATTGCATTATACCGGTTTTGTACAGTGACATTGTACTGCTCCTTAATTTCTTTATCTGTTCTAAGAATTCCTAAATTTAACTTGATGTTCTGTGGTGTTTTTCTAATGTTCTTTAGTTTTATTCTAATTTTTCCTACAACTGGAACTAATGGTCACTAATGCAGTCTGCTCCAGGTCTAGTTTTTGCTCCAACTAAGCTGCTCCGGAATCTTCTTGAAATCAAAATATAATCAATCTGATTGCGGACATTATTACCAGGACTTTTCCAAGTCCACAATCTTCGAGGATGGTGTTTAAACCAGGTGTTACCTATTATCTTGCTGCGTGACTCAGCCTATGCTATTAATCTGTCACCTCTCACATTCTTTTCTCCTAGGCCATAGCCACCCTTATTCCGTACACTTTTTCACTTCCTATTTTCGCGTTAAAATCTCCAAGTAACATTGTTACTTCACAATTTTTGCATTGATCAACAGCCATGTCTAACTCGTCATAAAATGCTTCAATATCTTCCTCTGAACCATCTGCTGTTGGGGCATAAATCTGTACTAAGTTGATGTCAAACGGTCTGCCGCGAAGTTTTACTAATACTACTCTATCTGATATTGTCCAAAATCCTTTCACAGTTTTTGAGTTCTTTTGATCCAAAATAATACCAACTCCCTTACCAAATTCCTTCCCACCCGAGTAAATAATTATGTACTGATCTTAATACTTTTCACCTGCTCCTGGCCATCGCATTTCACTAATTCCTAATATGTTGATGTTCATTCTTTTTATTTCCATCTTGATGTTATCCAACTTTCCGTTTTGTACGAGTGTTCTGACATTCCATGTACCAATATTCATGATGTTTCTACCATTTAGTTTTTCTACAGTAGCTGGATGACGGTCAGGTATCACCCGTAGAATATGAAGCTCCCTACCGGACGAGGTGATTCCACTGGAATCCCCATTCAAGTCGTTATCTGAATATGTATTATTTTGATGCATGATTTTCTTGGGATAGTACAGCGGTGGTTTCCCCCTTGACTTCCGCCGGTTTGTTTATGTTTTGACTCCAATAGCCTTTGTCTAAAGAGACTTACCCTGCAAGGCAGCAGGGGGGGGGGGGATAGGTTATGGCGCCTCTTACCCGCCGATGGCCATGTCGTAGAGTTTTAAGGTATTTTATAGAGTTAGCTGTCCCACCAACTAACTCGCCTCCTCTCAGTGACCATCACCTGTTTTGGTCCACGGCCACTTATTCAATATATTCGTGGCTAACCTCTACCAAGAACACTGACAAGTCTAAATAGCAGACTGTTAGGAAACTAGCGTGGTTGTGTGAAACCAGAGAATTTACGGTTACAGTAAAAGTTAAAAAAATAAACAAAAAAAAAGTATTTAAAAAAAATCCCTTTTCCCGCCTTAGGCGCATCAGGCATATGGAAAGAGCGTCCCATATTTTTACAGACAAATCGGCACTAGGTGGGTAATGTGGTCAGCATTACGCCGGCCGTCTTTACTTCCCCAGGACATCTATCTTGGTACTCAATTTAGGCTGGGTCGACCTGCGACGCCCCAAACCATGATAAAATTTCACGCAGCCAGCAGTGGGTTTCGATCGCGGTACGTTGGAATTACGAGTCGGACTTGCACGCCTAAGCCACGGACGCCGCATTTACAGTTTCACACCAAACATAATTAGGTAAGCGCTACGTCATAAAACAAAATACCTAATAAAACATAAAACATGTGATACCAGACAGCTAGGAAACATACACAGCTAAGATACATAATGTTGAATTGAGAATCGACATTACAGCACTCGGGACACCCCCATAGGCGCACCGTCCCCCATTTTCGCAGCAAGCTAAGAGTTAAAATCCCGATGGTATCAGTAACTGTCTGTTTGTATATCTGTCTCGCCTGTCCTTTGAGTGTCGAGCGTCGGCCAGATCCCCTTGTAACTCCTAGCAGTGCCATTCTCCTCAGACCGTAATGATCTATATGTTTCTCAGAACTGTTCACTTGCTCCCAAAGGACCCTCACAAAATCCAGCTTGTCATACGTCAGTTCACCACCAAGTGGTGCAGAGCCGGTCAGTCTATCTGCCTGCTCATTCCCCAACACACTGGCATGACATGGGAAAAATATTCAAATGATGCTAACCACCCTGGACCTCTGAAGTGATGCTTGTTACTCTGCACGGAACATGCCTGTTTCTATTTTTAAAAAAACATGACCCTGGGAAAATTAAAATAGCTGTCGAATTAGTTTTACGATATAGACAGCTGTTTGTTTGTCTTTGTTAGTTTAAGATGAGTGTTGTGTGTATGTGTGCGCGTAGTCTCTCTCTCTCTCTCTCTCTCTCTCTCTCTCTCTCTCTCTCTCTCTCTCTCTCTCTCTTTCTCTCGCTCGCTCGCTCTCTGTGTGTAGAGTACATAGCAGAAAACTCGCAAAATAGGGGCTTATATCCCGTGAGGTTCCCTCAAACTAAAGACAAAAAACACTGGGGGAGGGGAGGCAGAACTCCTCTAGAAAGTACAGGAGCTAAGTGTTCTCACTAACTAACTACGAAAGTTCTCTTTTTTCCCCTTGTATATTTGATATAATATTTCAAATATATTTTTTATTATTCTGTACCATTTAGCATATTATTTTTTTTTTAAAATGCGACTTGTGCATCTTGAGACCCATCTACTAGAAAACGTATCAAGAGGCAAAGGTCGTCCCTTACCTTTTTGAGTCCCAGGGGGCTTAGCATCAGAGGCCCAAGGGGTAGTCAAAAGAGACGGAAAACCGGCGCATCATGCGTCCACTGGGCTTCTAGTTAGGAACCTATGAACGTATGATACGTTTCGTGGGACTCAAAGAGTTACGCTCATATTATATCCTACCCTCCATACTATCTGTGTGTCGTTGACAATCAGTAACAGTAATACTGAAGAGGCAGAGTAGAGTCTGTGAAGACATTCATGAACACATCCGGCTTCGTAGGCAACGGGCCAAGAGAGCTACATTAGCATCAACACTAGTTGGAGACAGATTAAATACAACATGGCAAATATCATATTTCAAACTCCAGGCCGGCTTGCATTGCCAGCTGAAACCTAGTTATCCTGCCTGACATCCTGCTGCTGCGTGATGACTATTCCAGCTCTCTACTAATGTCAATCTCTATTCCTTTTAAGTGGAATCTCAGTCCATAATTACAGACACGGAGCTACAAATTGCTTCGAAAATTCGTTTCTGTACGAGGAGAGCATCTAGGAACGGCAAGATTAACTTTCTCTTGAGAAGGCAGACATGTATGGATTCAGCAAGCGTGGACTAGGACACAGACAACAGGGGCCAACTCGTTATTACAACATTACTTTTGATATCAGGGCTTTGCAGAATATTCAGCGTCAGTCTTAGTGTATGTTCAGAAACCGTTGCATGAATATTTATAGAATAGGGCCCTTTTTTCATCAGCAAGGCATACGGCAAATGGTGTTAAATGCAGATATGTATATATCAATGATTGACTATGTGCGCTGTGCAGTAAATAGCTTGCTGACCATATTTACTTCACGGTACTTATTTTAAATTAGGCCGACCACGAGTCCGTCGCGAAAACCAGTCCCAACACGGAGTTGAACCCAAGACCTCTTGCCCTCAGGCAAACATATGGCCACTTCGCAACTAATGCTCCCTATGTGGGTGTTTCATGATTGTTTCCCCAAACCCCCTCCCCCTCCCCCAGCAACGCTGTTCCTAAATAAACAAACGGCTTAGTAACTAGTGTGTTAAGTTGGGCTTTCCGCTACGTCTCAGATGTGTTTGCATAGGAAGCTAGTTGCACTAGCATCCGATAAGCTGCTTAGTTTTAGTTGCATGTGTGCAAGCAGCTTTGTGATTGCTGGCGGACACGTCAGACTAGCCTGTCAACAGATTGGCTGGGCCAGTCCAGTTTAATTTTCAGTTGGTGTGTGTGTGTGTGTGTGTGTGTGTGTGTGTGTGAGACTGTGTGCGTCAGTGTGTCTGTGTTGGTGGGTGTGTCTGTGTGGGTGTTAGTGTGAATGCGGGCGTGTGTGTGACTGGGTTAAATTTTTGCATTTTGATGAACACTAAAACAACCACTCTCCTTCAACCCAGGCCAAATAACTGATCACCACTGATGATATGTCATTGTGATCTGAAATGTCAGGTCATTCTATAATGCAATGTTCTTCAATCCGTAGGCCGCGGACCACTGATTGCATAGGGAAAAGTCCAGGTGGACCACGAACAATGTCTGTCTTGTCATGTAACTGGACAAGGTTGGTCGTTTTTCTCTTTATTCTGTAGGATTCGAGTATAAGAATCAGTAATCAGTGATATTTTTATACAACAAATTAGGATTTGAAGACTATAGCTGATTGTTGGTTGTTGTTGTTGTTTTGTTTTTTTTCAACTTTCTATTGTGTTCTTCAGCCACATATATTAGATTTTCTAACCTCCAAGAGGATTTCGAATCCATGACATCGGATTTAACAAATGAACATTTATTTTAGCTTCTGTGTTTGGTTGTCTGTCAGATGGGCAGCGAAACAATTCTCCACGTCTTTCGAGCCACGGTGTGAAAAATGTTGAGAAACGCTGCTCTAATGAATGCAGAGACAACCAGCGACTCAGTCAGCTGTCAACAGAATCGACAAGCAACCAACGTTCCTGTCATATATTGCTAACTCGTGTTTAAACTCACTCTCACAAGGCGTTTGCTTTCACATTAAAACTAACATTACTGTCAGTTGAAGAGTGTCAGGGTAGAATGGGAAGCTTTTTTTCGGCGATAACACACAGACATGTATTTCTGAAGGCATAGGAACGAGTCCTAGCCGCTATATGGCATATATGTATGACTGTATGTGAATATATATATATATATAAAATGATGAAGATGATAATTTTGCTGACAATGATGAAAATAGTGACAATAACTTGCAGTGGACGTGTACAAATGGACGTTATAATGGATATTATAATCCCAAAAGTCTGTTCTAAAATCAACATCAGAGGCTGGTGTGTACTGACATAAAAGACTACCAGAAAATGCAGGCAGTGAACGGTCTCGCTGTGCAAACGATTTTTTTTTTTGGGCCGTGATTTTGGAATAGCCCGCATATTTGTTGATGCTGCCTCCATCTTGCTCTGTGTTCCCTTGTGGTGATCATTTCTCTGTCGTTCTCTTATTTTATTTAGCCATTCTTACAGGACTTGTTAGTTTGTTCACATCTATTGTTAGACTGCACATTTTGAGAGGCCTTGCATTAAGTTCAAAACGTGGGAGATGCTCGGGTACACTGAAATCATCAGTAAGGCATACAGGTTTTCGAGACGTGATCTGTGATGTCAGGTCTACCCTATTTGAAAGGATGACACGAAATATTCTGCGGGAAAAAAGTCAAGTGCTTTGCCGACTGATGTGAGTCATCATTCCTCTCCACAATCTGCGATCTTCAACTGCATATATCAGTTCGTGTGTTGACACCATTCTATGCCAAGACAAAATTCTGTC